TGGGTGAAGTACAAATTTAACAAAATAAACATTCAAAATGCCAGTGATGGTCCAAAGATTGGATATATACTGTTCCATATAAATAATATTTTATAGAAATAAAGATTCTGCTATTCGTGAAGAATTTTTACTACAACCGTGGTGCTTTGAAGTTATTCACCCAAAACCAAGGAAATTTTCTACTCCTAAAAAAAAAAAAAAAAAAAAAGTGATTCAGAACATGTTCCACTAAAATCTTGATATCACTGATGTCCAAGAACTATTATTGACATTTAATTATTTAAATTTAATCTGAAATTTTGGTTTTTATCAATTTTCTATGTTTTTTTTTTCCTAATCTCTCTACATGTGTTACTAGGTCATTTAGTAATGTTTTAGTTTTGTAGCAGAATATATTGAAGAATAAAAAAAAATAATGTATCTAACAAACTATTAAATTGATGGAAGATTTTGTTTTATATCAAGTAAAAATGAATATACTTGTTAAACTCTATGAAGGATAGAGTTATCAATTCAAAATAAATTTCCTCTTAGTGTTTTTATAGTCTGGGTTATTTCTATTTTAGGACTGAACAGCAATAATCCTTATTTACCATAGAACTAATTTTCTTGTTTTCACCTTAGAACAGTGGTTTGGTGAGGCGTGGCAATTTTTTTCTTTCCTGAGGCGAAATGATTGATAGACAATCAAAGATTTAGGAACAGTTTTAAAAAAAATTCATATGCCAAAAAAAAATGTTTTCTTTAATTTATTAGTGCTTCCCCAACGGTGCGTCGAACCTCAGTAGGGGTAAAGAAGAGGATATAGGTTATTGATCGAATTTATTAAAAACAATAAAAGATTTAGTATTAAGAATATAGGGTCCGCAAATTGGAGGAGAGAGTTATCAATGATAATGTTCTGACTTCGGATCTTCGGCTATCTCCCTTTTCTCTTTTTATTATTATTAAATGTAATTTTTATCGCATAAAATTTGGTGAGACACGAGCATATTTTCAAATTCGAAAATGCGGCCCAGAGGAAAAAATGTTTGGGCACGGCTACACTCATATCGCTAAAATCATTTGTCAAATAGTGACGGTAGTTTTAAAAAAAGCGGTGTCAATGGAAAAAAAAAAACCCGTCCTTTTAACACCCAGTCTTATTGCATGTACCATTATCCAGTTGTACCGAAAATTCTTTATACAAATAAAATTCCATGTGGCAAAATAATGACCATTATTTTTCAGATAACCGATTATTACACATGCAAATGATCTGCTTTTTAATTAAATTAACGACACGGATTTGCTCACTGGCTGCAATTAATCGAATGACAAAACAATGCATTTTCTTAAAATTGATGAAAAATCCCGTTTTTTTAACAAATGCTTTGAAGCCTTGCGTTGCCCAAACAATTTTGAAAGGCATATGGATAAAGATTATAGAATTTATATACTGAAAATAAATATGATTTCAAAATTTAAAATATTATTATAGATTACTTGTAATTGCATGCATGAGTCCCAGTATAAATAGTTATAGATAATTATTGACCGATTTTTTCATTGTGTAATTTTTGCATTATATCAAGTATTAAGAATATAGTAATTGTGTTCTGCAAATTGGAGGAGAGAGTTATCAATGATAATATTCTGACTTTAAATCCGCGATTATCTCCCTTTGACCATCTCCCTGTTTGTTTGTTTTTTATTCTTAAATGTATTTTTATCACATGAGATTTGGAGAAGCGCGTGCAAATTTTCATTTCGAAAATATAGCTCAGAGAAAAAAGTTTGGGAACTTCAACTACGGGTAAATAGTTAACTCCCAAAACGGGGTCAAAATACTATGAAATTATAAAAAATACATTTTTATAGTAAAAAAAAAAATACATTTTCATACTTAAAAAATTACCAGCAATGCATTTTTGAAAAAAAAAAATACCAGTAATATATTTTTTTAAATAAATTTTTTATGCTCTCAAGAAAATTCAATCTCGGCATTAAATGACCCATGAAGGTGTTGATATGTTGCTATACAAACAAACAAATAAATACATGTATTACTCTGATATCCTCAAGGACACATGGCACAGTGGATAAAGGCGTTGGTTAGATCCAGTGACAAGACCCAAAGAGTGTGAGTTCAATACCTGGTTAAGGTAGTGGAGAACTTTCAGAGGGAAATTAGCAGGAGATAACTGATAACTGACATCCATCAAACATGGCACGTCGAACTAGAACAGTCTACTCCAGTTCGAAATTCCAACCACCTGAAGAAGGCCGAAACGTTGTGATATATATGGCGACAAAGATGAGGACAATAGTCCAAATAAGTTATTACTCTTCTTTTTTCTTTTTACTATTGCTCACCTAATATAAGGCCCAAGAACATCTCAAGGTAGAGGGCTAGAGAAAGAGGAATGTATTAGGTGTCTGGAAGAAGGGAGAAAGAGAGGAATATTATGAGAATATATAGGATAAATATCAATGGACCCTTGACTTAATGTGGTTAAGAATGTAGCTCGGAATGTAGTTTTATAATTTAACAGTCCTTAGAATTGATCTTCCTCCTTACAAATGTAATACGAATAGAATGGCGATGATTCTATTGACGTATGGGGTCTGGTAGGTGCTAGCGTGTAAATATGTGTGTGTGAGGGTGCGCATATATATATATATATATATATATATATATATGTGTGTGTGTGTGTGTATGTGTGTGCATATATATGTGCTTATCTATATGCATGTGTGTGTGTGTTTGCGGATATGTGTTTGTGCTTATGCCTGTATGTGTGTGCATGTGAGTGGGTGTATGTGTGTGTAAGATATGTAAGTAAGAGGCCAGACCAATAAAATGACGTACATAGATAGAAACATCGATAGATAGATAGATAGATAGATAGATAGATAGATAGATAGATAGATATGGATAGTTTGCACTTAAATGATACAATCTTCCTGATATATATATATATATATATATATATATATATATATAGAGAGAGAATAAGAGAGAGAGAGAGAGAGAGATAGAGATAGGAAAAGAGAGAGAAATTTAGAGAGGGAGAGGGATTTATACAATCAGATAGATAGATAGATAGATAGATAGATAGATAGATAGATAGATTTTAACTGGCGGATCTTTAACAAGAATGAGAAAAACCCTCGAAATAATTTACATTACATTTTTATTCTATTCCAATAACAATTCTTTCACCGATTTTTTTTTTTTTCGCTTTGTCCATTATTATTGTTTTTGTTTAAAAAAATCCACACAGTTATTTATTTGGTTTCCCTAACGCGAGGCAAAAGGCTTCTTTCAGAGCCAAATCAACCCCGCTCATAGCCTATGGCTTCTTTCTTTGCCAAGCAACTAATTAGAAAATGTCTTTCTGCCCACAAGAATATAAACATTCTGTAAGGAAGCATGTCGCTCAGCTCATTGCAGTACAAAGATTTTTTTTGATTTTTTTTGTGGCCCTCTTAAGAGACGAAAATGTAGTTATAACAATTGGGCTGTGTCTCGATTGAGTCGCCATCTGAATAAGGTCAGAAGGTTTCTGGAGATCTGTTTACCCGGTAATATCTCCCCATTGTACTAAACGCGATGAAAGATCAGGCCTTGTTCCTGACACTATGTCAATGCTTCAGGAATATTGTCTTTATCTATCTATCTATCTATCTATCTATCTCTATCTATCTATCTATCTATCTATCTATTTGTACGTATCTATCTATCTATTTGTACGTATCTATCTATCTATTGAATCTGTTCGTATCTATCTATCTATCTATCTATCTATCTATCTATCTATCTCAGTCTTTTCACATCTATCTATGTACCTATCTTTCTTTCTCAGTCTGTTCATTATCTATCTATCTATCTGTCTGTCTGTATATATATATATATATCTATATCTATATCTATATCTATATATATATATATATATATATATATATATATATATATAACAACAGGCTGATATAGATATACCTCTCTGTCTATTTCAGTCTGTAAATATATATCTATCTCGTTCTCACTATATATATATAAATATATATATAAGAAGTTAATATATCTCTCTTGATATATATATGTATATATCGAGATGTTTCTAACTTCCTGTATAACTCTCATTTTTCACTCTCTCAGGATATATATATATATATATATATATATATATATAGATATATATATAGATATATATATAAGTATAAAATGGGTATGCATAAAATAGAAAAAAAACGTTGGGTGCATAATCCGGGGTACCTTAGTATTTTTATTTTTAAGAAGACTGTGCTCCATACAGAAGTAGAGCTTTATTATAATAATAGTTTTTTTTTAAAAATATGATTCCGTCGCTACATAAGAGTTCTCATGTTTCAAAAACGAGAGCCGAAACCATCCAAATGATTATTAAAATTAAGTTGAATTGAGGTGTTTAGGCCCGTTTCATCTTCAAGATAAATTTTAGGAATATATATTTATATATATATATATATATATATATATATATATATATATATATATATATATATATATATATATATGTCGTCGTCTGTTTATGTATCTATATATCTGTCTCTGTTAATAGCTTACATATCTATCTATATTCATGTCTGTTTATGTCTTAGTCTATCCATATCCGTCTATTGCCCTCTCATCATCTATCTATCTATCTATCTATCTATATATATATATATATATATATATATATATATATATATATATATATATATATATATTCGCTTGAGGATGAAATGGAACTAATGTCTTTAATTTAATTACAAAATTAAATTCGTAGCTTTTAGCTTCCATGGTTAGAACTGTGTAGCGAAAAAAAACATATTTTAAATAAATCAATTTATAATATATATATATGTGTGTGTGTGTATATATATATATATATATATATATATAACTATATCCATCTATCTATCTATATATCTATCTGTGTGCCTGTGTCTGTCATATTCTCTCTCGTGCTTTTTCTACATTCTCTGTCTGATGTATGTCTGCCTCTCTCTCTCTCTCTCTCTCTCTCTTTCTCTCTCTCTCTCTTTCTCTCTCTCTCTCTCTCTCTCTCTCTCTCTCTCTCTCTCTCTCTTTCTCTCTCTCTCTTTCTCTCTCTCTCTCTTTCTCTCTCATACACCCCCCTCCCTCTCTCTCTTTCTCTCTCTCTCTCTTTGCCTGTCTCATATTGTCGAACATCTTTCTCAGATCCTTTATAATATCTGTCTACCTAGCTAGCTTAAGCTATATTTAAATATATCTGAGAGACATTTTATTTGAATCGGAGTGTCTCCATATACCCATCTCTTTGTACTTATCTCTCCCCGCTTCCGTCTGTCTGTGTGTCAGCTCGTTTGTATATACTCCATATCCATTACCTTGTCACAATCTATCCGTCTCCGGTTTCAAATTGTCTCAGTCTCGTTGTATCTATCCCTTTATGCGTTTCCTTGTCTGTACCTATCTCTCTCCGGCTCTTTACGTTTGTCTCAACCTGTGTTAGTCTGTTGGTCTAGGACTGTTTCTGTCTATTTCTTTTGATTTCCCCTCTTTTCTTCCTCCACTACGCTTCCTGAATCTTTATTCTTTTACACACAAAGACTGAGAAATATCGGTTATCTTCCTACCATCGACAGTTCCCTCAAAATATACACACAATTTCTTAATAGCTGCTATAATTTGTTTTCGAAAACGTTAATCACTTTCTCCACAAAGAGTAAGTGTTAGAATAATGGCTAGAAAGAAAAGTCTTCGATGTTTAAATTTTAAAAGACAAGAACCTGACAAAATTCACAGCAGATAAAATTACCGAAACATCTTTTGCATGCAACTTTAAGCTGAAGTGAATAACACATTTAAAAAAAATAAAAAATAAAAAAAACTGTGTTAGTTTGTATTTATTTTAAAATTTTATTCTTTATTAGAAATTTTAATTAACTTTCAGGTCAGAATTCATAACAGCCAACCTTTTATTTATTGTCTGTTATATTTATGTTATAAGCCAACAATGTCTTCCCGTTTATTTCCAGGAAAGGAGACATAGCCAGCCAAAATTTTTATATATATCACAAATCATATAGACCCATTGTCTGTTCCAAAATTTAGGATTCTAACCTTACTTTAAAAGAAAGACGAGAAATAGCTTTTCAAATTGTTTTAATCGGCATCACTCCAGGCAAGGCAATAAATCCACTAAGACACAAGGGGTTACTGGGTGTGGAAGAATTAAGGAGAGAAACATTAATAATGAGCGGGAAGAGAAAAGAGTAATCAGGAGGACAGTAGATAGCGATTGACATTGCATTTAAATATTTGAAGATTAAAGTTAGATAGAATGCATGGAGCCGAAAGGGAGTTCCATAAGCAAGGTAGTAAAGCCACTAAGACACAAGGGGTTACTGGATGTGTAAGAATTGGGAACAGAAACATTAATAATGAGCGGGAAGAGGAAAGAGTAATCAGGAGGACAGTAGATAGCGATTGACATTGGAATTGAATATTTGTACATTAATCTTGGCTAGAAAGCATGGAGCCGGAAGGGAGTTCCACAAGCAAGGCAATAAAGCCACTAAGACACAAGGGGTTACTGGGTGTGGAAGAATTAGTAACAGAAACATTAATAATGAGCGGGATGAGGAAAGAGTAATCAGGAGGACAGTAGATAGCGATTTACATTGCATTTAACTATTTGAAGATTAAAGTTGGCTGGAAAGCATGTAGTCGGACGGGAGTACCATAAGCAAGGCAGTAAAGCCACTAAGATGCAAGGGGTTACAGGATGTGGAAGAATTAGGAACAGAAACATTAATAATGAGCGGGAAGAGGAAAGAGTAATCAGGAGAACAGTAGATAGCGATTGACATTACATTTAAATATTTGAAGATTAAAGTTAGATAGAACTCATGGAGCCGAAAGAGAGTTCTATAAGCAAGGAAGTAAAGCCACTAAGACGCAAGGGTTTACTGGATGTGGAAGAATTAGGAACAGCTCTATTAATAATGAGTGCGAAGAAAAAAATAGTAATCGGGAGGACAGTAGATAGCGATTGATATTGCATTTAAATATTTGAAGATTAAAGTTGGCTGGAAAGCATGGAGTTGGATGGGATTTCCACAAGCGAGAATTGCGAAAAAAGAAACTGCCTGCTTAGAACTTACGGTTACATCTTGCCAGCTCGACTGTAATATGGCGAGGTCTCGACGCCAGTCTTCTACTGCGTTTAAATTCATAAAATCTAGAGAGCGAAGAGTTCATTCAAACAATTACCATCAAATTATTTATAGAAAAGACACAGAGTGGCAACCTTATGGCTGTTTAAATATCTCCATTTTGTTTTTTTAACTGTTTCACTCTCAAAAAAGGCAATAAAGCCACTATGACATAAGGTTTACTGAATGTTAGAAAAGATGAAGAAAATGTACTATTAAGGTGAGAAAATAATAAAGAAAACACGAATTTATAAGATAGAAGATAACGATTGACATTTCACGTGAATCTTTGAAGATCAACGTTGCCTTGGAATCACGAAGACGGTAAAGAATTTGTTTTCGTCTCCGCATTTTGAGAGATGCTCTAATATTTTATTTATTAATTTGTGACGAAAATAATAACAGAAAATCTGTCTTTATTGCATATTTTGTTGAACAAGAGAGATAAGTTACTATTTTTTTTTTTTTTTTTTATTATATTATGTTACATAATGTTCTTGTATACGTACAATTGTTTGTTTATTTAATGGATGTAAACAAAAATACTTGAAATAGCTTACAGTTTAAGCGAAAGCGCTCAGCATCAATAAACATTTGAACAATTTTAATAGTGTCATTAATCCAAAGAAGCAAACACTTGTAAGCATGCATAAAAAAACATTTTATTATACTAATTCTTTTATTCTCATTTTATTTTGTTAATCTATTCTAATCTTATCATTTTTATTATACTATTCTATAATTCTCATTTTGTTTTTATTCGATTCTATTATTAACATTTTGTTTTTTTTATTCTTATCTGTTATTGTAATTTTGTTTATATGACATATTCTATTATTCTTATTTTGTTTATATGACAATCTATTATTCTTATTTTGATTTTATGATATATTCTATTATTCTTATTTTGTTTATATGATATATTCTATTATTCTTATTTTGTTTATATGAGATATTTTATTATGCTTAATTTGGTTTTATGATATATTCTATTATTCTTATTTTGTTTATACGACAGAATCTATTATTCTTATTTTGTTTATATGACAATCTATTATTTTTTTTGTTTATATGACATAATCTATTATTCTTATTTTGTTTATACGAGATAATCTATTATTCTTATTTTGTTTATATGACAATCTATTATTCTTATTTTCTTTTATACGACATAATCTCTTATTCTTATTTTGTTTATATGACACAATCTATTATTCTTATTTTGTTTATATGACAATCTATTATTCTTATTTTGGTTTTATGATATATTCTATTATTCTTATTTTGGTTTTATGATATATTCTATTATTCTTATTTTGTTTATACGATATACTCTATTATTCTTATTTTGTTTATACGAGATAATCTATTATTCTTATTTTGTTTATATGACATAATCTATTATTCTTATTTTGTTTATGCGACATAATCTCTTACTCTTATTTTGTTTATATGACAATCTATTATTCTTATTTTGTTTATATGATATATTCTATTATTCTTATTTTGTTTATATGACACAATCTATTATTCTTATTTTGTTTATATGATATATTCTATTATTCTTATTTTGTTTTATACGACATAATCTCTTATTCTTATTTTGTTTATATGACACAATCCATTATTCTTATTTTGTTTATATGACAATCTATTATTCTTATTTTGTTTTATACGACATAATCTCTTATTCTTATTTTGTTTATATGACATAATCTATTATTCTTATTTTGTTTATATGACAATCTATTATTCTTATTTTGTTTATATGACAAACTATTATTCTTATTTTGTTTTATACGACATAATCTCTTATTCTTATTTTGTTTATATGACAATCTATTATTCTTATTTTGTTTATATGACAATCTATTATTCTTATTTTGTTTTATACGACATAATCTCTTATTCTTATTTTGTTTATATGACACAATCTATTATTCTTATTTTGTTTATATGACAATCTATTATTCTTATTTTGTTTTATACGACATAATCTCTTATTCTTATTTTGTTTATATGACATAATCTCTTATTCTTATTTTGTTTATATGACAATCTATTATTCTTATTTTGTTTATATGACAAACTATTATTCTTATTTTGTTTTATACGACATAATCTCTTATTCTTATTTTGTTTTATACGACATAATCTATTATTCTTATTTTGTTTATATGACACAATCTATTATTCTTATTTTGTTTATATGACAATCTATTATTCTTATTTTGGTTTTATGATATATTCTATTATTCTTATTTTGGTTTTATGATATATTCTATTATTCTTATTTTGTTTATATGATATATTCTATTATTCTTATTTTGTTTATACGATATACTCTATTATTCTTATTTTGTTTATACGAGATAATCTATTATTCTTATTTTGTTTATATGACATAATCTATTATTCTTATTTTGTTTATACGACATAATCTCTTACTCTTATTTTGTTTATATGACAATCTATTATTCTTATTTTGTTTATATGATATATTCTATTATTCTTATTTTGTTTGTACGATATATTCTATTATTCTTATTTTGTTTTTTACGACATAATCTCTTATTCTTATTTTGTTTATATGACACAATCTATTATTCTTATTTTGTTTATATGACAATCTATTATTCTTATTTTGTTTATATGACAATCTATTATTCTTATTTTGTTTATATGGCATTATCTATTATTCTTATTTTGTTTATATGACATATTCTATTATTCTTATTTTGTTTATACGACATAATCTCTTATTCTTATTTTGTTTTTATATTTCATTCTATTGTTTTTCTAGACTTAATGGATGAAAAAAAAAAAAAAAAACTTGAAATGGCTAACATTTTAACCAAAAGCGCTCGACTTCGATAAAATTTTGGACATTTTTAATAGTGTCATTAAGGCCAGAGGAGAAAACACTTGTACGCATGCAAAAAAAAAAAAAAACAACTTTACCCTATTTACATCGTTCATATCTTTGTTACCATATTCACGACGTTTCGACCGTTGTACGCTCCGACCTTCTTCAGGATCTTTTTATATTTCTGAGATCAGTTATTTTAACTATTTACACTATTTCCATCGTTCGGACTGTTCTCATCAAACTTATTGCCACATTCATGAAGTTTCGGCCATTGCTTTCTTCCGGTAATACATTTTCTGGATAAGTTTTCTGTTATTGTACCAAGACTTTATGAATTTAAGCGCAGTACTAGATTGGCGGCTAGGTCTCATCATTTAATTTTCAATTGTCTGGATGCAAACGTAAATTATATGTTAATAGTTTCTTCTATCGCCCTTCTCGCTTGTGGACCTCCCCTCCGTCTACTTTCTTTCCAGCAAACTTCGATCATTAAAAATGTAAATGAAATATCAAGTTTTTTTATTCTACTATTCCGTTATTCTCGTTTCTTTATTCTATTCTTTCATTCTCATTTTTTAAAAATTTCTATTATTCTTATTTTATTCTATTCTTTAATTCTCATTTTGTTTTTGTTCTATTCTATTATTCGCATTTTGTTTTTATTCTACTATTCCGTTATTCTCGTTTCTTTATTCTATTCTTTCATTCTCATTTTGTTTTTAATTTCTATTATTCTTATTTTATTTTATTCTTTAATTCTCATTTTGTTTTTATTCTATTCTATTATTCGCATTTTGTTTTTATTCTACTATTCCGTTATTATCGTTTCTTTATTCTATTCTTTCATTCTCATTTTTTTTAAATTTCTATTATTCTTATTTTATTCTATTCCTTAAATCTCATTTTGTTTTTGTTCTATTCTATTATTCGCATTTTGTTTTTATTCTGCTATTCCGTTATTCTCGTTTCTTTATTCTATTCTTTCATTCTCATTTTGTTTTTAATTTCTATTATTCTTATTTTATTCTATTCTTTAATTCTCATTTTGTTTTTATTCTATTCTATTATTCGCATTTTGTTTTTATTATAATATTCTATTATTCCAGGTTTGTTTTATTCCATTATTCTCGAATATATAAATAGTTTCATCCAATTTTTTGCAAACTATACTCTCTCTTTCACTCACTCTCTTTCTCTCACTGTCTCTCTCTCTCTCAGTTACTCTTTTTCACTTTTCTTTATTCTATTCAACTCTCTAAAACGATATCGTTCTTTCTATCTATGAACATTTTCTTTTTCATTCTCTCTCTCTCTCTCTCTCTCTCTCTCTCTCTCTCTCTTTCTTCTTTATTTTATCTCTCTTTGTTTATGGTGTTTGTCTCCCCCACCAACCACCGCTCTCTTCTCTTCAGTCTCTGGCTTTTCTCCCCCGCCTTCTCATTCCAGTCTCACCACTGGCTTTACACAGTTTATTGTTGTGGCCTTCTTAGCGGCCAGAAATAAAGGCACAAAGAGAGGAATTGAGTTAAACAAATATATTAACAGAAACAATAATGCAAAACATATACAAACGAGAGTGTTACAGCACGAATGTTCGGTTCGACTGTCAAGGCTGACTGCTGGAAACTTCAACCCATCCCACCTCCCAAAAAGGCAGTACCTGCTCCTATTTATAGCTGGGAGAATCCATGCACGCGTGGGTAAATTACCATAAACACTATCTAAGCCTGTTCATCTATCTATCTATCTATCTATCTAAGTCAGTCTCTTCATATCTATTTATCTAAGTCAGTCTGTTCATTATCTATCTATCTATCTATCTATCTCAGTCTCTTCATATCTATCTATCTATCTATCTATCTATCTATCTATCTGTTGTGGCCAGAGAGGAATTGAGTTAAACAAATATATTAACAGAAACAGTAATGCAAAACATATACAAACGAGAGTGTTACAGCACGAATGTTCGGTTCGACAGTCAGAGCTGACTGCTGGAAACTTCAACCCATTCCACCTCCCAAAAAGGCAGTACCTGCTCCTATTTATAGCTGGGAGAATCCATGCGCGCGTGGGTAAATTACCATAGACACTATCTAAGCCTGTTCATCTATCTATCTATCTATCTATCTATCTATCTATCTATCTATCTATCTATCTATGTCAGTCTCTTCATATCTATTTATCTAAGTCAGTCTGTTCATTATCTATCTATCTATCTCTATCACTCTCTTCATATCTATCTATCTATCTATCTATCTATCTATCTATCTATCTATCTATCTAAGTCTGTTCATATCTATCTATCTATCTATCTATCTATCTATCTATCTATCTATCTGTTGTGGCCAGAGAGGAATTGAGTTAAACAAATATATTAACAGAAACAGTAATGCAAAACATACAAACGAGAGTGTTACAGCACGAATGTTCGGTTCGATTGTCAGAGCTGACTGCTGGAAACTTCAACCCATCCCACCTCCCAAAAAGGCAGTACCTGCTCCTATTTATAGCTGGGGGAATCCATGCGCGCGTGGGTAAATTACCATAGACACTATCTAAGCCTGTTCATCTATCTATCTATCTATATATATATCTAAGTCAGTCTCTTCATATCTATTTATCAAAGTCAGTCTGTTCATTATCTATCTATCTATCTATCTATCTATCTATCTATCTATCTCTATCACTCTCTTCATTTCTATCTATCTATCTATCTATCTATCTATCTATCTATCTATCTATCTATCTATAACAGGCACTCATTTGTCTCTCTCTCTCTCCTTCTCTCGGCCTCCTGACCGTGATATATCTCAGTCTGTACATGTTTATCTATCTATCTATCTATCTATCTATCTATCTATCTATCTATTACAGACATTCATTTGTCTCTCTCCCTCTCTCTCTCTCTCTGGCTAGTGAACGTAATGTATCCTCAGTCAGTACATGTTTATTATCTATCTATCTATCTATCTATCTATCTATAACAGACATTTTTTCTCTCTCTCCTCTCTCTTTGTCTCTCTGCCTAGTGAACGTAATGTATCCTCAGTCAGTACATGTTTATCTATCTATCTATCTATCTATCTATCAATCTATCTATCTATCTATCTATGTCAGTCTCTTCATATCTATTTATCAAAGTCAGTCTGTTCATTATCTATCTATCTATCTATCTATCTATCTCAGTCTCTTCATATCTATCTATCTATCTATCTATCTAGCTAGCTAGCTAGCTAGCTAGCTAGCTGCTGTGGCCTTTTCAGGACCGGAAATAAAGACACAAGAGAAGAATTGTGTTAAACAAATATATTAACAGAAACAGTAATAGAAAGCATATACAAACGAGAGAGTTGATGACTGTCTTGAATTTGCACTCATCTATGCAGCACAATAATATCAGAAGAGATATATCGATCCTCATAGGGTACCATACATTTGTAGTCTTGCAGCCCATTATTACTATAGTGAGGTCAAATTTTATTGAGTACCCAAATTTTAACCTTATGCTTTTTATCTCTTGTTAATATTTCTACCTCCTCCCTTCTAAAACATTTTCTCTCGCTTCTTCTTTCTCTTTTTTTTAAATTTCTAATCAATCCCATGAGTGCTATCGTCTCTCTCTCTCTCTCTCTCTCACTCTGCCTCTCTGCCTCTCTCTCTCTCTCTCTCTCTGCCTCTTTGTCTTTGTAAACAATTTGATTTTTTTTCTCTCGCTTTCTCCGTCTATTCGACTCTCTAAATCGATACCTCTCTTTGTGTCTTTGCAATTGTTCTCTCTCTGTTCTCCTCTCTTCTTCCCCAACTCTCTCTCTCTCTCTCTTTTCTCCTCTCTTCCTCTCCAGCTCTCTCTCTCTCTCTCTCTCTTTGTCCTCTCTTCCTCCTCAAATCTGTCTTTCTATTTCTACTCAGTCTAATAACTGATAACGACTCTCTCTGTCTCTTTCTCTCTCTTTCTCTCTCTCTTTCTCTCTCTCTATCTCTCTTTCTCTCTCTGTCTCTGTCTCTCTCTCTCTCTCTCTCTCTCTCTGTCTCTCTCTCTGTGTCTCCCTCCTTTGGTCTCCCTCTTTGCCTCTTTAAAACATTCTCTGTCTTTCTGTTTCTGTTCAATCACGTGAATACCATAGTCTCTCTCTCTCTCTCTCTCTCTCTCTTTCTCGCTATCTCTCGCTTCTTATTAAAACAATGACAGTTTCCTTCTCTCACTTTCTTCGTCTATTCGACTGTCTAAATCGATACCTCTCTTTGTGTCTTTGCAATTGTTCTCTTTTCTCCTCTCTTTCTCTCCAACTCTATCCTCTCTTCTTCCTCAACTCTCTCTCTCTCTCTTTCTATTTCTGTTCAGTCAAATAAACGATAATGATTCTCTGTCTCTGTCTCTCTGTCTCTCTCTGCCTCTCTCCCTCTGTCTCCTGCTTTGCCACTTTAAATATTCTCTCTCTTCTATTTCTATTCAAGCATTTTTTTCTCTCCTTGTTCCGTCTCTCTCTCTCTCTCTCTCTCTCTTATTTTTTTTTCTTTTTCTGTCATTTTCTTTTTCTCTCCAACTCTTCGCTTCGATCCTCTATTCTAATTTTTCTAAATTTTCTCCTTTTAAAATTGTTTCTTTTTCTTTTTATTTCCTGAACCACAATTTCTCTCTCTTTCTCTCTCTTTTCTCTTCTTTCTTCCTATTGTGTATGTGTGACTGTCTCTATCTCTTTAAACAATTTTTATTTCTCATGCTTTCTATTCCAACTCTCCTTTATTTTCTATTTCTATCGGATCTTTTCTCTCTCTCGCTCTAATTTTTAATTTCTGTTTCATCTCTTGCCTCTTTTTTCAAAACAGTCTCTCTCTTTCTTTTTTATTTGTAGGGATTCTTTCTTTTTTCTCTCTCTCTTTCTCTCTTTCTCCATTTCTCTCTCTCTCTCTCTATTCTAACTCTTCTCTGTGTGTGTGTGTGTGTGTGTGTGTGTTGTGTGTTGACTATCTTTTTTCAAATTTCTCTCTCTTTTATTTTCTCTATTATTGTCATTTTTAAACAATGTCATTTTTTTTCTCCTGTCTACGTCCGTCTATTCGTCTTTCTAAATTGTTACCTCTGTTTGGGCCTTCAAAATTTTTCTCTCTCTCTTATCTCTTTTGGAGTTCTTTTCCTTTCTCTCTAATTCTCTTTTTTTCATCCTCTTCAACTCAAATCTGTCTCTCTATTTCTATCTACCTTTATCTGTCTCATAAGCAACCTCCCATCTCTCTAAATCTCTTCCGACTGTCTGTCTCCTTTCTATCTCTTTTTCTCTCTCTCTCTTTGTCTCTTTAAAATTCTCCATTTACTTAGATCTCTCTTTTTCCTCTGTCTATTTTGTCTCTCTAATTTCTCTTTTAACTCTCTGCTCCTCTTCTCTCTTCCCTCCAACTTTTCCTCTTCTCTCTCTCTCTTTCTCTTCTCTCTATTCTTTTATTCATCTTTCCATTCCCATGTACCCACTATATCATCTTTTCTTTCTCTAAATTTCAAAATCTCCTTTCTTTCTCTATTTGTCTCTTTAAAACAATGTCATTTTCTTTCTCTCGCTTCCTCCGTCTATTCGACTCTGTAAATCGACACCACTCTTTCTCTCACTGGAATTTTGCCCTCCCCTTCTCTTCCTCTCTCTTCTCTCCTTCAATCTTGCCGATATCTTTCTTTATTTCTCTGTCTCTCTATCTATCTATCTCCCTATCTATCTATCTATCTCTTTTTGGAGTTTATCCCATGCCAACCTCTCCCTTTCTCTCTAAATCTCTTCCGACCTCTTCTCTCTTCCCTTCTTGCCTATATCTTTCTTCCCTCTCTCTCTCTCTCTCTCTCTCTCTCTCTCTCTCTCTATCTATCTATCTATCTATCTATCTATCTATCTATCTATCTATCTCTCTGTCTGTCTCTCTCTCTCTTTCTCTATCTATCTATCTATCTCTCTCTTGGAGTTTGTCCCATGCCAACCTCCCCCTTTCTCTCTAACTCTATTCCGACTTCTTCAGTCTCCAGCCTTTCTTCTTCACACTCCAGGCTTGCCACTGGGTTGACACACTTTATAAATCATACCAGGGCGTCCCGTCTCCAAAGGACAATACATTGTCTCCCGAAATGGGGCGAGGACAAACGTTTGACAATCTCATTGTCATTCATTTGTTTTTCCTTAGACCACACTGCCCCTGCACACTTGTCTATCATCCTATCCCTGGGATCTTTCCTCTGTCCGTCTACCCCTGGACCCAGCCTCGCCAACACGGCATATATGACTCGATGCTAGGTTTGACATTCTGCAGGAAAAATGATATGGAAACCAAAAGGTTTAACGACAGAATTTGCAACGTGCAGTGAACTGCTTCCTCACCCCGGCTACGTTCGCTTTCCAGCTTATAAAGGAACGAATGGGGGAGGGATGGGGGCTAATGTCTGTCTGCCTGTCTGTCTCTCTGTCTGTGTGTCACCTCTTTTCGATGTGACCATCACTTGTATCATTTTCTACATTGTCGCTTTCCGGGTCCACCAAACCCTTAGGATATTTTGCCTCACCGGTCTGTCTCACTCCATCATTCCTCGTTGGGTCATGCCATTTGTCTAATATTTTTACGACTCTCTCTCTCTCTCTCTCTCTCTCTCTCTCTCTCTCTCTCTCTCACTCGTCCCCCACCCTTCTGTATTTTAAACTCACATTGTCGTTTAGTAATGTTTAGTGTTTCTTTATGTTTGTCTCTCTTACTCATGACATTTCATTCATTTTCTTCTCTTTCACTCTCTCTTTCTCTCTCTCTCCCTCTATCTCTCTCTTTATATATACGAGTTTCATTATTTATTTATTTCTCTCTTTCTTTCTTTCTTTCTTTCTTTCTGTATATATTCTATGTTTCTCTTTTTCATTATCCCTCATTCCTTTCTTTTCATATCTATTTTCTTCTTTTTACTGATTCTTTCTTTCTTTCTTTCTTTCTTTCTTTAAGTTTTTAAGTCTTTCTTTAAGTCTTTCTTTTGTATTCTATTTTATTGTACTACCTTCCTTCCTTGCCTTCTTTCTTTCTTTCTATCTTTCTTTCTTTCTTTCTTTCTTTCTTTCTTTCTATCTTTCTTTCTATTGTATTCTCTTGTACTTCCTTCTTTCCTTTCTTTTTTTCTTTCTTTCTGTAATTCCTTCTTTCTATTGTATTCTATAGTACTTTCATTTTTCCTTTCTCCCTCCCTTCTTTCCTTCCTTCCTTCTTTCCTTCCCTTCTTTCCTTCCTTCCTTCTTTCCTTCCCTTCTTTCTTTCTTTTGTAATCTATTCTATTGTACTTCCTTATTTCCTCCCTTCCTTCCCTTCTTTCTTTCTTTCTTTCTTTCTTTTGTATATATTCTGTTTCTCCTTTTATTTATCCCGCATTCTTTTCTTTTCATCTTTGAATCTCTCTTTTCTTTTTTTTTTTTTTCCTTTTTTTCCTTTCTTTTTTTTTTTTTCTTTCTTTCTTTCTTTCTTTCTTTCTTTCTTTCTTTCCTTTTTTACTTTTCTTTTCTTTCTTTCTTTCTTTTCCTTTTTTATTTTCATATCTTTTTTTTCTTTTCTTTTTTTCTTTCTTTCTTTTTCTTGAATCCAGCATTTTGTCTTTTGTTTTTTTTCATCTTTTTTTCTTTTTTTCTTTTTTTATTTTTCTTTTTTCTTTTCTTTCTTTTTTCTTTCTTTTTTTTTATTTCTTCTTGAATCCAGCATTTCTCTCTTTTTGTTCTTTTTTTTTCTTCTTGAATCCAGCATTTCTCTTTTTTATTGTTCTTTTCTTTCTTTCTTCTTGAATCCAGCATTTCTCTTTTTTTTCTTTTGTTCTTTCTTTTCTTTTTTTCTTTTTTCTTTTTTTTCTTTTTTATTTTCTTTTTTTTCTTTTTTCCAGCATTTCTCTTTATTTTTTATTGTTCTTTTTTCTTTCTTTCTTCTTGAATCCAGCATTTCTCTTTTTTTTCTTTCTTTTCTTTTCTTTCTTTCTTCTTGAATCCAGCATTTCTCTCTTTTTATTGTTTTTTCTTTGTTTTTTGAATCTTTTTTTTTTTTTTTTTCTTTCTTTTCTTTTTCTTTTCTTTCTTTCTTTCTTCTTGAATCCAGCATTTCTCTCTTTTTATTGTTCTTTCTTTCTTTCTTCTTGAATCCAGCATTTCTCTCTTTTTATTGTTCTTTTCTTTTTTTTTGAATCCTTTTCTTTTTTATTTTCTTTCTTTCTCTTTTTTATTGTTTCTTTTTTTTTTCTTTCTTTCTTTCTTTTCTTGAATCCAGCATTTCTCTTTTTTTTGTTTCTTTTTTCTTCTTTTCTTTCTTTTCTTTTTTTTATTGTTCTTTTTTTTTTTTCTTGAATCCAGCATTTCTCTCTTTTTTAAATTCTTTCTTTCTTTCTTTCTTTCTTTCTTTCTTTCTTTCTTTCTTTTTTTTTGAATTTTTTTTCTTTTTTATTTCTTTTTTTTCTCTATTCCTTGGTATTCTCTTTCGTTTTGATTTTTTATTTGAATTTCTTTTTATATCAAGTTTCTCCTCCTGCATTTTTTTTCATTTTATCATTTTTATTTTCTTTTTCTTTCGTTTTTTTGTTTTAATTTTCATCCTTTTTTTTTTTTTTCTTTCGCTTTCGTCTTTTTTTTTTTTCTTCATTATCTTTTTTCTTCTTTTTTTTAATTTATTTATCCTTTTTATTTGATTTTCATCTTTTATTTCAGATTTTTCATTTCTTTCATCCCTTTTCTTTCTTTCTTCCTTCTTTTTTTTTCTTTTTTATCTTTTAAGATTTTTTCTTTTTATTTTCTTTTTATTTTTTTCTTTTCTTTTTCTTTCCATTTCTTTTGTTTTTATTCGCCTTTTTCTTTTTTTTTCTTTTTCTTTTTTTTCCTTCCTTTGTTTCAAGGATGATTGTAAAAATTTTTTCAAAATTCTTTTTTCAATCTTTCATGAATTTTTTTTTTTCTTTCTCCTTTTCTCATATTTCTTACAGTTTTTTCTTTTTTTTTTTTTTTTTTTTTCTCCTTTATTTTTTTTTTCATTTTTTTGTTTTTCTCCTGAAAATTTTTTGTATGCAAAACGTTTTTCAATTTTATCGTTTTTTTTTTTTTTCTAAATTCCAATACCATTCTTTCTTATTTTTTTAATTGTTCCTCCAGGTTTATTTTTTTTATTCTATTTCTTTCTTTCAAATATCAAATTTATGTTTTTTCTTCA